CCCCCGCCCCCCCGTCCCCCCCCCCCCCCTGCCGCTTTGCCCCTCTCGTGCGAGTCCCGCACCGCCGGTAACAACCCGCCGCTCTCCACAGCCCAGCTGGAATGAGGGACAAAGGATCCCTCGGGCTGGAGTTATCCTGCCAACCCCTAGCCAACCGTCTGACGGCTCGTTTGCATACAGCCGCTCTATTGGACCATGCAAATAAGGCGGTGGCGCGCTCAACTTGACCCCCGCCCGCGATTTTCAGTAGAAAGGCAGCGGGCCGTCAGTAACTTTCTCTGCCTTTGCCAATGCTGATTGGAAGAAGGTTTCGTGTGTGGAGGGGCGGCGTTTGCTGTGGGAGAGCGGACGGCGGACGGTTCCCCTGCTTCCCGCCTGTCTGCTTCAGCTGTTTTTCTTGCTGGTGCGCATTCCCCCCCCCGCTTTGCTTTGAGGGGGAGGGATTGACGGTAAGCTTCTGTTTGCAGCCAAATGCTCTGCGGATCATCGTTTACAATAAATAATTGTTAGTAAGCAAGTTATAAAAGTCAGAGGGGAAGCTGCTCGTCAGCAGTGAAGTTTAACTCCCTCAGGGGCTGATGCTGCTGTACTGCGTCCCTCATGGTGGGATCCCTGCCCCACTAGACTAAGCGGCTGACAACAGCTGGCTGATTTTGTCTGGACTTGGAAAGCAAGCAGGACCGCAGCTGGATAATGTCTGGATGGAGGAGCGGGAAGTCAAAAAGTCCTGAAAGAAGGCGACGGCAGACGAGCCCTGCTCTATGGCTGTGTCTGCGGAGACACCAGGTGTGAGCGCAACTCTACCTGGATGTTTTTACGTGGTGGCTGAAGACCACCTGAACCACAAACGAGTCAGCGATGTTTTGGTCTACTGTGTCGTGCCAACCCAGCCCTTGCGGTTCGCCTGTGATTCATTCTGCTGTGTGAATCCAGGCTGTTGAGTGAATTCAAGCTCCCTTGTTCAGTTAGCATGTCCAAACACACCCAACTGTTTTTAACTGTTTTAAACTGTTGTTGCAGTTTATTTTGTTTATTCTTACACTTGCTGTTGAGCTCCTGAAGACACCATGGATTGGATAACACACGCGCCAAGATTATTAGAGCCAATGACCAAAACAAAAACAACTTTAATATGATCTTAGGTCAGAACAAAAATAGCATTACAAATAATAAGAGTATAATAAAGTTAATAAATTTAATAAAGGCCAACCACAGTACCCTAGGCAATGTAATTAGATATCTACTCCTATGGAGGATACAGTCGTATACCAAGTTTGAGTTGCAAAAAAGCAAAATTTGCAGCAACCAAGTAAATGATTTTCTGGTCCCTGGCAGCTAGTAAAGAAATGGCTTAAACTGTTTTGCCAGCCACTGCTTGTTTACCTTTTTGGCATTACCTAACCCTGAAAATAACTCACATCCTGGAGAGAGGCCAAATGATCTCAGCTTGTTCATAATACTATTCCACCATTGCAGACTACAACTGTCAGATATTAGAAAGAAAAGCAGTGCAGTTGGAGCCAGATGGATCCTCAGCCACGCTAATAAAATAGCTTGCCAGATTGGGCTTTGATTCCAATCAGACCACTTGCTGATCTCGAGGCTGAGTTTGGAACACAACCAGGAGTCATACATCTTAGGCAACCTGATTAGACATTTTCAAGAGGTCCTAAATTTGTATAGCATTTATGCTGCTGATTTTGCAACAAATAATTTAGCAGCCGGGATGAAGTTTCCTCCCTGTCTTAAAACTGCTGCAGCATTCTTGTACCTTGGAGAAGGCATGGTTGGCTTGGGCTGAATTCCTTCTGGAGCCTTTGAAGACAACTCCTTCATATCTCAAGCAACTTGCTCCACGGTCTGTCTATATGCTAGCTGTGAATCTTAAAGCCGTTGAAGAAAAACATTGTTTTAATTTGGGGGGGGGGAATCATCTGTTCCTCCTTGCCCTACTGGGCAAGAAGATTAGGGATTCTCTTGAGGCCTGCCTGGGTTCATAACAGAACAGGATGTGTAGCGCTCGCCATGATAAAAAAATAAGTGCAGCCACTTTTATAGATGCAATGGCTGGGTTTACATCATGTGCCAAGTCATGGTTAACCGAATCATGCCAGATCCTACTAACTAGTGGCCTATGGTTTTACCATACACTTAACCACAAAGTAACCACATTTTAGTCTAGCATGTTCAAACTCAACAATATATTTTCATTTAATTGCTTCCTCATTGTATTTCTCTCTCACTCTCTTTCAAGAGGCTAAGTTTAGTGCCTCTGATTCCCCCCTCCAGTTAACAACTACCTCTTTTACTTCAGATATCTTTATTTACATAAAGAAGTCTGATGCAAGTCACCTTTAACTCTGGCAAGTTGAATCCAAGGGCAAGAGCTCTGAAGAGAAGGGGTGGGTCTTTCTCACCCCTTCTGATCATCCCAGGTAATTGGATTCTTGTTTTATGTATGCACATTCCTCATTGATGAAAACAACATCAAGCAATGACTTGTAGGTATAAAAATATGTCATCCATGGCATGGATTGAGCTTTTAGATTACCTCCAATGTAATGCTAGCATGGTATGTGAACCCAGTCGATGCATACTTTCAGTTGTTGGATATTGGTTGTTTTTGTACATGAAGCCAAGTTATAGTTTGTATCACCATGATTTATTGTGTGAGCCGTGGCTTACAAAGAAGAATGGCTAAGTGCACATATCACACCAAACCAGAAGCCTAACCCTAACCCCATTAGCATCCTTGTTTATCTGCTTTTGGTTTGGGATAGTATGCACACCTTGTCATTGCATACATCAATTTTCTTCAACGGGGACTCTGTAAATGTCTTATGCAACTCCAAAAATTCCCAGTCATGAAGGCCATGCTTCTTAGGGATTCTGGAGACTAGTTTCATCACATCTTTAGTACATCACATCTTCCCAGATCAGGGAAAACTGGTGTACAATATTCAAATAATGTCACACACATTCATACAAATAACAACACTGTCAAGGTCTAGACACAGGGCAAGTGGGTCTAATGATTACCTGGCTGGAGGCAGAAAATTCTGATAAGGCTGAAGTACCTTATCCTGCCAAACAAATGTTGATATTTTTGACGCATTTCAGTATCACATACAGAATGAAAAGCAGAATAACTACTCTCTGAAGCAGAACAGAAAGCCAGCGTACTGTAGAAATATCAGGCTGTTTGTTTAGCATAAACTGTGTACTGAATGTGTTATTCAGTTATATGGAAGTTAGTTGGTAAAGATGACTGTTGTGTAGAGTCACAGTGTAGAACAAAGGAAAAAAATTATGACGTCCTATCACTTCTGGATTGGAGAAAGGAAGGAAATGGTCTATTTATGTCAAATAAATGCAGGCTAGAGGCTGGTGTAGATCTGCTGTATGAATGTGCGTCTACAGAATAGCTTATAGCAGAATAGGTAATAGCAAATTAGTTGAGCTTTTTAATCTGTTTTTATTAGCAAAAACAAAATTACAGGTTTTAGGTTTCATAATAAAATGGCATATTCTCTACCAATCCTTGCAAATCTATTGGTTTAGACCAATGTTTCTCAACTTTAGCACCTTTAAGGTGTGTGGACTCAACTCCCAGAATTCCCCCCCCCCCACCCCCGCCTGGGGGTTTTTTGGGGTTTGGGCCCAAAC